CCTTTTGAGGCAGACAATCCTCTCACACACACACACCCTGGGGGTGGCGGTTATTTGGCGCCTTAAAAAGTGGAAGGGTCCAACCAATTCACCCGGCTCTCTTGGCTGTTCAGGGGGTGCACGTGGTCCTCGGTTTACGGCCTTTCATTTAGTCTTCAGAGTTACGACGGCTGGAAAACAGTCACACCGCCGCTTTTCACGCTTTACGACCGTGACCGTTGCAGCATCCCCCACGGCCAGGGGATCAAAATTCAGACGCTCCGGCAACTGACTCGTATTTATGACAGTTGCAGTGTGTGTGTGTGTGGGGGGGTGTCACGTGATCCCCTTTTGCCACCTTCTGACAAGGGGAAACGAGATTCACATCACCAACTTCACCGCTGCAGTGATCCTCTGAACAACGGTGGCAAGAAAGGTCGTAAAACGGGCCCAAAATTCGCCGAATGCTTAGCGACAGAAATTTTGGGATCAGCTGCGGTCGTTAGGCCGAGGACCACCTGTGTGCTCGGAATCCCTGGCCTTACCCATTGAAGTTGCAAAGAGATAACATAGATTGATAAGCAGATATATCGAAGCTTGCCAGGATTTGAGTCCGCGGGGGTGGGCTTCTCCCACCCACCTCAATTTCCTGGATTCAGCTCATCACAGCCAGCTGCCAACTGAACATACCAGGTGAGTTTGCAAAACAGCCCACGCATAGCTGCATGAGCCGTGCTTTTCCGAATTCACCTAGGGGATTACAATCCAATTTAGCCCAGCCTGGTTTATAAACTGAGAAAAATCTGCCAATTTGATTCAGTGAGATTAAAGAACTAAGCAAAGTACAGGTAGTTCTCGACTTACGACCACAACTGTTGCTAAGCGAGACAGCTATTCTATTCTATTCTATTCTATTCTATTCTATTCTATTCTATTCTATTCTTATTCTATTCTATTCTCAATAAAGATTCTATTCTATTCTATTCTATTCTATTCTATTCTATTCTATTCTATTCTATTCTATTCTACTCTATCCTATTCTTACTCTATTCTATTCTATTCTCAATAAAGATTCTATTCTATTCTCAATAAAGATTCTATTCTATTCTATTCACAATATTCTATTCAATTCTCAATAAAGATTCTATTCTATTCTATTCTACTCTATTCTATTCTATTCTATTCTACTCTATTCTATTCTATTCTATTCTACTCTATTCTACTGTACTTTATTAATTTCTTATTCTATTCTATTCTATTCTATTCTATTCCATATTTTCTATTCTATTCTATTCTATTCCATATTTTCTATTCTATTCTATTATATTCTTGATTGTGGTCATAAGTCAAGGACTACCTGTATCTAGACATCTTCTCCAGGCACCTGAGTCTCTTTTACTTTCTGCTCCTGAGGTTGCCAGGAGCAATTATACAAACAGCCCTCAACTTACAGCCACAATGGAGCCCAAATTTTCTGTTGCTAAGCGAGACATCTGTGAAGTGAGTTTGGCCCCATTTTACAGCCTTTCTTGCCTCGGCTGTTAAGTGAGCCCCTGCAGCTGTTAAGTTTGTAATACGGTTGTTAAACAAATCTGGTTTCCCCCATTGACTTTGCTTGTCAGTAAATCATGTGAGCCCCCGACGCTGCAACCATCATAAAATGCAGGCCAGTTGCCAAATGTCTGAATGTTGATCACCTGATTGTGCAGATGCTGCAATGGACTTAAGTATCAAAAAACGCTCACAGGTCATTTTTCTCAGTGATGTTATCACTTTGAATGGTCACTAAACACACTGTTGTAAGTTGAGAACTACCTGTAGATCATTTGAGTGAACCATGCTGTGCAAGTTCAATAAATAGACTAGAGCTGAAAGGGATCTTGGAGGTCATCTAGTCCAACCCCCTGCTGAGGCAGGAAACCCTATACCATTTCAGACAGGTGGCTGTCCAGTCTCTTCTTAAAAACCTCCAGTGATGGAGCCCCCACAATTTCTGAAGACAAAGCTGTTCCACTGGTTAATTGTTCTTGCTGTTAAGCAACCTTAATTCCAGGTTGCTTCTCTCCTTGATTAGTTTCCATCCGTTGCTTCTTGTCCTGCCTTCCGGCGCTTTGGAGAACAGCTTGACTCCTTCTTCTTTGTGGCAGCCCCTCAGATACTGGAACACTGCTATCATGTCTCCCCTATTTCTATTTTTCTTTAGACTAGCCAAACCCAAGTCCCGCAGCCGTTCTTCCCATGTTTTAATCTCCAGGCCTTTGATCATCTTAGTTGCTTTTCTTTGAACTCTTTCCAAAGTCTCATCAGCTTTTTTGTAGCGTGGTGACCGAAACTGGTTCCAGTACTCCAGGTGTGGTCTTACTAAGGTGTTATGAAGTGATACTACTACTTCACGTGAACGGACCAACAAAGCTTGCTTTTTCTGCTATTGGGAGATGACCAAACCGCAGTTCCAGGATTAAATACCCCCCTGTGTAAAATGGAGCCCTCCAGATGAGGGCACAAAATTGATAATTTTGAGGGTTCCCAAGAGGCAAATTCCTGGATATATAGGGTTGGGGGTGAAGGGGACCAGGGTTAGGCCAGTTCACTCCCTGAATGCTCCCAAATTCAAGGAGAGGACCTTTTGAACTCAAATCCTGGGGGGGGGGGTTAAGATGTCTTTATGTTTCCCCAGGGGATTTTTCTTGGCATGGAAAGCCATGCGGTTTTCTCCGTTGGTCTTTTTATTTCATTTATGCATCCTTCCAATAGCTTCCAAGCCATTTGAAACAGATATTAAAACAGGTCCAAAAAAAGAAACAAGAGAACCGTTTAGAAACAAGGGCGGGGGGGGGGGGAGAGGAGGAACCGTAGAAAAATATAGTAAAATATATAACATTCAGAGTTTGTCTGGTTTCTCACTCATCCATTAGCCTCTATTGCAGTGTTTCTCATTCTGGACCACTTTAAGCCTTGTGGACTTCAGCTCCCAGAATTCCCTAGCCTGCATGCAATAAATTTAACCCCCCCCCACTTTTCATCCATAATTCCTTCTCACCCTCTGGACAGGTAAGAGTTAATCCTAGCTCTGGGGAAATCTTGGAAGGGTTAAACTGGTTGATCTCCTCCTCACTCCCCTGGCCTTGAAGGATTCATTTACCCCTCCTTCCCCTGTCTTTTTTCTTTTTTCTTTCAAAGAGCACCGAATTTTTTCCGGGAGGGGGGGCTTAATCCAGTTTTTCCTCCTTTTTCCACCCCAATTCTTGATCAGAGTGAATCCACCTAGCCCAGCCGTTTGAGAGCCTCATTCTCGGCGGCCCACGCCCCGCAGCCTCTTGCTTTTCACTCTTATCCTTCTTCTTTCCTTTCTTTTTCAGGGTTAAAAAATCATCTTCCTTTCCTAAGTCCAGACTTTGCAGAGTTCAACCCTTTCACCTCCAGTCTTTCTGGATCTTTAAGGGTTAACTCGTTCCGCTTAGGCTTGACCTGTGTCAGGTTAAGCCAAGGGGTCTTTTTCCCTCCTGTTAAGAAAAAGCTCTCTTCCCCCTCTCCTCCCTTTTCCCCTCTGCCCCCCTTCCCCTGCTCTCCTCTTTCCCCCTCTGTCCCCCCCTTTTCTCCTCTGTCCCCCTTCCCTTGCCCCCCTTCCCCTGACTCTCTTCCACCCTCTGTCCCCCTTCCCCTGCTCCCCCCTTTCCCCCTGCTCCCCTTCCCTGTCCCCCTTTTCCCCTGTCCCCCTTCCCGTCCCTTTTTCCCCTCTGTCCCCCCCTTTTCTCCTCTGGCCCCCTTCCCTTGCCCCCCTTCCCCTGATTCCCACCCTCTGTCCCCCCTTTTCCCTCTGTCCCCTTCCCCTGCTCCCCCCTTTCCCCCTGTCCCCCTACCCTTGTCCCTCTTTTCCCCTCTGTCCCCTTTCCCCCTGCTCCCCTTCCCTGTCCCCCTTTTCCCTCTGTCCCCTTCCAATGCTCCCTCTTTCCCCCTCTGTCCCCCCTTTTCTCCTCTGGCCCCCTTCCCTTGCCCCCCTTCCCCTGACTCTCTTCCACCCTCTGTTCCCCCTTTTCCCTCTGTCCCCTTCCCCTGCTCCCCCCTTTCCCCCTGCTCCCCTTCCCTGTCCCCCTTTTCCCTCTGTCCCCTTCCAATGCTCCCTCTTTCCCCCTCTGTCCACTGTCCCCCTTCCCTTGTCTCCCTTTCCCCCTCTGTCCCCCTTCCTTTGCCCCCCTTCCCTGTCCCCCCTTTTCCCCTTTCCCCTTTTTCCCTGCTCCCCTCTTTCCCCCTCTGTCCCCCTTCCCTTCTCCTCCCTTCCCCTGTCCCCCTTTTCCCCTCCGTCTCCTTCTGTTCCTTCATTCTCCTGTCTCCCTTTTCTTGCTCTGTTTCCCCCCCCCCGCTTTCTTTCTCGGTCTCCCCTCCTGATTTTAAAGGGTTAACACAAACCTTCTCTTTTTCCTCCCCCCCTTTTTCCTCTTGCCCCCCCTTCCCCCTCTCTCCCCCCCTTCCCCCTCCCCGCTTCTCCTCTTCTTCCCCTTTCCAGGGTTAAAACGATTTTCATCCCTGCCGGCACTTCAAGGGTTAACCCAAAAAAAAAGGAAAAAGAAAAAAAAAAGAAAGGGGGGAGAGCGAGAGAGCGAGAGCGTTTCCCTTTTCTCCCCCCTCCCTCCTCCCCTCTCGGCTACTTCGCGTTCTATCCAGATTGACACATTTTCTACGGGAAGCCGCGCCGGACCAATCAGGCGCGTCCTGGGTTTTGTGGCTTTTTTTTTTTTTTTTTTTTTGGTCCTTCCCCCACGTGGGCCGCGAGCGCCTTATGTATTTCTTCCCTTGCCTTCCCTTTCTTCTCCTCCTCTGCCCCCCCCCGCCCTCCCCGCGCTTTCTCTCGCTCTCGCTCTCTCTTCCCGGCGCTCTGATTGGCTCCGGCGCGTTCGACTGTGGCGAAAGAGAAAGCGGCAGACCCCACGTGGAGCTGGCGGGCGTTCCATTGATCGCTTCTCCCCCGCAAAGCTGCCGCGGGTGGGAGGGGGGGGAGAGAGAGAGAGAGAGAGAGAGGAAAAGGAAAGAGGGAGAGAGAGAGAAAAAAAGAGAGAGAGAGCGAGGAAAGGAAGAAGGGGCGTTGAAAGGGGGGGGTCCCATCTCTCTCTCTCTCTCTCTCTCTCTCTCTCTCTCTCTTGCAAACACGGCAGGGCAGCCCTGACCCGGAGCCACCCCGCCCACGCTCTCCCTTCCTGCGCTTGGGTGAGTGTTTTCTCGCGCGCGGTGGAGGTAGATCTTCCCCCTGCCTCCTCCTGGGTCCGTCTCTCCAAGGGGGGTGGGTGGGTGGGTTGGTAGGTGAGGGGTGCAGCGCTTTTAACGGGGCAGTGAGATTTAGGTTTGATCTCTTTCCTGCTGGCGGATCTACTCTTGCTTTACCTGCTGCGGCTGCTGCTACTGCTGCTTTGGGGCCGGACTATTGTTAAGGCTGGGAAAAATCGGGGGTGGGTGGGTGGATGAGGGGGGGGGGACGATTTTGTACCCGGGACTTTCTTGGTGCTTTTTTTTTTTAAAGGGGGGGGGTCTAAGCCGGAGAAGAGCCGAGTTCCTCATTCGTGGGAAAAGAGCGGGTTGCGATTGTTAATTGGGGCGCTCGGGGGAGGGGCTGCATGTAGAGAGGGTTTTTTTTTTTTTGCTGTCTGTATTTCTTAATACAAAGAGGCATCGGGGGGGGGAGTAAAATCCTCACCCCCGTTTTATCTCGTGCAGCTCACCTTCCTGGCTAAATACCCACGGATTAAACTGTGATTAATGTTACTTTGCCTCTGTTTTTCTTCTGTGCTCATCCCCGGTTAAGCTCCAGTGTTTTTTCCTTTCCCCCTCTGGGAAGCAGAGCTGCCAGCTCGGGGGGGGGGGGCAAACATTCCCGAGTCCTTGAGATCTTGCCCAGCTCCGTATTTTTATTTTATTTTTATTTCTCTACCCCCCTCCTTTCTTGCCTCGTGGCACAATGGATAGACCACCCTGAACATGTGCGGAGTGCTTTTTCGTGGCTCCTGAATGAGCCAGTTCTAGCTTCCTACCCATAGGGATGGGTATTGGGGGGGGGGTCCCCAGGCAGGTTTTAAAATCCTTTATTCGAAATCTGTAGAGAGAGAGTGAGAATGGAGAGTATTTCGTTTGATGTGGTACAACAGTTTGCAAGAACTTCGGAGAAAAACGTTGCTAATCTAGTTTGCCAAAAACCCACTGGGTAAGATTAAATCTTTCTTAATTAGGGGTCTACACACTTTCTGAAGCCAGGACTAGCATCAGTTGTCCTCAACGCGGTTAGATTGGAGGTTTGGGTGTATTCACACAGTAGGTTTAGCCTGCTTAGAGAAATGAACTTTTTTTAAGGCTACTTGTGTGTTTAAAGAATGCCTTGGTACGTTTAGGGGTTTGCCCAACATCCAGGAGAAAATTAACCATAATTAAAGGTGGCCTGTTGCGTGAATACAGCCCACTTTACTTTAAGATGCTTTATGAGTTGTGTGATGTCATTGGTGTCTTTTCTCTAAACTGGGAAGAGTAAGAAGGTGACCCATTAAACCTCCAGAAGCACATGCAGATGTGAAGTTTCCAATTGTTGGAAGTCTTGCCTACTAGATGGAGACTCCAGATGCAGAGGCAGTTTATCTCTTTCACTCGGCTTCCCTGGATCTGTCAATGAGCCTCCTTGTTAGAATCAAATTTCGAAGCTGGTACCAAGATTACCGTTGTTATTTAAAAAAAAAAAAACACAACCATATGGGTTTTTCCAACCCCTATCTTCTAGTTTTCTTTATTTTAAAATGCATTGGAATCTTGAGTTTTTCCACGCATCACAGGTAGTCCTCGACTTACAACGGTTGATTTAGTGACCGTTCCAAGTTACAACAGCACTCAAAAAAAGTGACATGACCGGTTTTCACACCATTGCAGCATCCCCACGGTCACATCATCAAAATTCAGACGCTTGGCAACCGACTCACATTTATGACAACTGACTCACATTTATGACGGTTACCGCGTCCCGGGACTCACATTTATGATGGTTACCATGTCCCGGGCTCACTTCGTCCCCTTTTGCAACCTTCTGACAAACAAACCAATTGGGGGGGGAAGCCAGATTCACTTAACAACCGTGTTTATTTATTGAACCACTGGTAGTGATTCCCTTAACAAGCACGGCAAGCAAAGTCGTAAAATGGGGCAAAACTCACTTCAACCTCTCCCTTAGCAACAGAAATTTTGGGCTCGTAAATGGAGGACTGCCTGGACATTTTATCTATAGCTGACTGCTTGTATCTTCACATAGTCAATAAATAGGTGAAAATAATTGAGTTTAACATTGATTTATTGTGGGGTTGGTTGTTTTTTTTAAGGAAACCACTGCTGCCCCCCCCCCCCCGCCCAGCCTTCCTTCCCCCCCCCAGGAGTCGATTAGATGCGCCAGGAAGCCCCCCCCCTTTCAATTTTGCACATCCTTCCTGATAAAGCTGGCTGGGATACAGGGAATTGGGGAAGGGGGGGTAGTCAGGAACGGCTGCAGCTGGGAGATTTTTATATTGCATAACTTGGGGGACGTTAAAGTTAATTGAGGGGCGCATGTAAGAACAGCTGGAAAGAGGGAATGGTGTGTGACGTAAAACAAAAAAATAAAAGTGGAAACAGCCACGTGGGGTCCCTGGTGGTGGTGGTGGTGGTGGTGGGAGGTCCTTTTCTTCCTGACCCTGGGGGAATAAAGGGGGGGCTGAATTGTAGCTCCTTTCTTCCCCCCCCCAGTTGCACATGTGTTAAAAAGGAAATTTATGCTTCCTGAAGTCTGCCTGGGAATTGGAAGCAGGAGGGGGGGAAAAAACGCCCTTGACATGCCCAGAGGCGGCCTTGTTCACCCTGTAATTTCCTTCTGAGCAGACAGCCAATATCCTCCCTGTCTATGAAGGGCCGTCACGGGGTCAAATGGTTTGCAGCGTCTCTCGAATCCATGACGAGTTTTGGATATTTATCGATTTGTGCAAAAAAAAAAAAAAAAATCTCTAGTTGGGTGGCTTTCTGGAAGTGTTTGGAGGCTGGTCCTCGGCTTACGACCACAACTGGGATCAGAATTTCTGTCCCTAAGCGAGTTGGGTTGTTAAATGGGTCTCGCTCGATTTTGCATCTTTTCTTGGGGGGGAGGGGGCTTGGTTGTTAAGCCAACTACTGCAGTCGTTAAGTGAATCGTGCAGTCGTTAAGTGAACCCATTGACAGTTAGAACAATTAACCAGTGGAACAACCTGCCTCCAGAAGCAGTGAATGCTCCAACACTGGAAGTTTTTAAGAAGAAGAGACTGGACAGCCATTTGTCCAAAATGGTACAGGGTTTCCTGCCTGAGCAGGGGGCTGGACTAGATGACCTCGAAGGTCCCTTCCAACTGTATTATTATTATTACTTTGCTGGTTGGAAGCTGGCTGGGAAGATCATACGTGGCGAATATGTGACCGCAGGACGCTTGCAAGTGTCATAAATGCATGCTGGTTGCCAAGCGCCCAAATTTTGATAACGTCATGGTGGGGATGCGATGGTCGTAAGTGTAAGGACTGGCCATAAATCATTTTATTCAGCCCTTTTAGTCACTCAATGAATGGTTCCCCGCTGAGGACAGCCTGTAATTGGTAGAGAACTTGGTTTACACAATTTAGGTTACTGGAGGAGGGGTATCCCTTGTTAATATTTTGGGGGTTCTGGCAGGAGGAACTGTGGATGCTGTTCTTTGGGACGCAATTCAAGGTGTTGGTTATCACCTTTAAAGCCCTTCATGGCATAGGGCCAGGTTACTTACAGGACCGCATTCTGCCGCATAGTTCCCAGAGACGGGTGAGGTCCCATAGATTGGGCCTCCTTCAGGTCCCGTCGGCCAGACAATGTCGGCTGGCGGGCCCTCGGGGAAGGGCCTTTTCTGTGGTGGCTCCGACCTGGTGGAATCAACTCCCCCCCCCCCCGAGGTTCGAACTACTCCCACCCTGCCGGCCTTTAAGAAAGCCGTTAAAACTCTCCTGTTCCGGCAGGCCTGGGGCTAATGTCCCGGGGGGGCCGGGATATGATCGGACTCGCGGTATGACTGTATTATTTTATTATTTTATTGTTTTATGATTGTTTTAACTTTGTACGCCGCCCTGAGTCCTTTGGGATTGGGCGGCATATGAATAAAATTAAATACGAATACAAATACAAATTGTTTTGTTGCTGTTAAAAAGTAGAGTATATTTCAGTGATTTAAAGTACAGTTTTTACATTTTTGCCACTGTGGGTTCCTTATTGCTACCCTAAATCAGGCTTTAAGCCACGATTGTAAAGAAGGGAATGGAACTAATAAACCAGAGTCACGTAGAATTTGGTTAGAGCTGTAGAATGGCTTTCTACAAGCAGTGATGACTCCTACTTTGGAAAGGAGAAGAGAAATGTCTGGAAGAGAAGGCTTTCTGTGGTGCTAGTCCTCATGAATCTCTTTTTATTCTCACAATCGAAGGATAACATTGCTCACCAATACGGGACTTGTGGATTCCTTTATTTCTTACTAATTTGTTTGCCGCCCACCTTGCTTCAAGGCCACTGGGTGGTGTAAAATAAATGGGGTGTAAAAGTGGTAGATGACGATAGTCAAATCATGGCGCATTTTGTAACTGCTGGAATAATGTGCGCATAGTTCGTTTTGAAAAATCTGGTCAGCCATTTCTAGACTGCTAAGGCTTTGCTTACAGGTTTGTACTTAAAATGTGCTAAAATTCAGTGTGCTAAAATGTGCTAAAATTCCCAGTGCTAGCTGGGGGAATTCTGGGAGTCGTAGTTCACTCATCTAAACATGGTTGAGACGCCCGTAATTTCTGGTGTGGGACCAGGATAAGATAACCAACGCTTCCAATTTAACCAGGTAACCATCTTATTCTCCCTAGGTTACCCCCAGAACGTGGGTTCCCCAAACTGGAGAGGTGGTGACCTTGCCTAAAATCACAAACCTATGGTTGATTTACAAGGATGTTCCCCCAAAATCGGCCCCCGGTAAGTTATCTTTGGCTTTTTAGATTTCCCTTCCATCTCCGAAGTTTGGTTCCTTAAATCTTTAGGTTTCAAACGCCATCAAAAAAAATAAAAATAAAAGTATACTTTCTTTTAGGTTGATTTAACTCTTATCCAAATGTCAGTGTTTCAGTAGTGGATGTGTTTTTATTGTTTATTGTATTGTTTGTTTACATGGATTCAAAATGGACAATGGATTCAAAATGGACAGCGATTAATATATGTGTGTGTGTGTGTGTGTATATGTGTGTGTGTGTGTGTGTGTGTGTGTATGTATGCTGGGGGGTAGGTATATATATGTATGTATATAGCATGTGTATATATATATATGTATATCGGTAGATATATACTTTCGTCCGTTTCCTGCTGTTATTGCTGGGTATTGGAGTTTGCGGAATCATCACATGTATGTATCTTGTTCCTAGCGTATATTTGTAGATAGTGTAATATAAACCACCATTTACCACTGTTTTCTGTATTTACTCCTGGGTTACCTCAGCGCAATAAACCTGCACGCTTTCCTTGGTTGTCCATAGTCTTTGTAGGAGCCTTCTCCAACATTAGGTTCAAAAGCATCAATGCTCATCCTCTCCTCTTCTTCAAAGTCCCAGTTGCGCTCCCGTAAATGGTCAAATACAGGTAATCCTTGACTGACTAAATGGTCATTTAGTGACCATTCAATGGCACTGCAAAAAGTGACTTAGAAGATGATATGATAAGATAAGATAAAACAACAACAACAACAACAACAACAACAACAACAACAACAACAATAACAATAACAATAATAATAATAATAATAATAATAATAATAATAATAATACAAATAGAAATAGAAACTGTGGCAAAAGCAAGCAAGGGTAGTACCAATAGTGATAGGCTCCTTGGGTGCAATCCCAAAACAACTGGAGCACCACTTGAACACCATTGGCATTGACAAATTCGCTATTAGTCAATTGCAAAAGGCAGCCTTACTAGGAACTGCTTCCATCCTGCGATGATATCTGTAATACCATCAAACATCACATCTGCCTATCCCAGGTCCTGGGTAAGGACTCGATAGGTAGACAAAATGCCAAATCCAGTCTGAACATCTGGCTGACTGTGCGATGAATGATAATAATAAAGTTGGAAGGGACCTTGGAGGTCATCTAGTCCAACCCCCTGCTAAGGCAGGAAACCCTATACCATTTCAGACAAATGGCTGTCCAGTCTCTTCTTAAAAACTTCCAGTGTTGGAGCATTCATCGCTTCTGGAGGCAGGTTGTTCCACTGGTTAATTGTTCTAACTGTCAGGAAGTTTCTCCTTAGTTCTAGGTTGCTTCTCTCCTTGATTAGTTTCCATCCGTTGCTTCTTGTTGCCTTGGAAAATAGCTTGACACCCTCTTGCAGTAGTCATTAAGCGACTCACTATTGTTGTGTGAATCGACAGTCATTAAGCAAACCCACTGTTCGCAATGAGGTGATTTGCCTAAGGCAGTGTTTCCCAAACTTGACAATTTTAAGGCATGAGGACTTCAACTCCCAGAATTCCACAGCCAGCAATGCTGGCTGTGGAATTCTGGGAGTTGAAGTCCACATGCCTTAAAATTGTCAAGTTTGAGAAACACTGGCCTAAGGACTGCAGGAGTCACTCAGCTGCTGCAGTGGCTCATTTAATAACTAGAGCCAAAAAGTCATAAAATGAGGTGCTAAGTATCTTACTTAGCAATCAGGTTTTTGGGCTTGGGAAGAGAAGAGCAACTAAGATGATCCAAGGCCTGGAGACCAAAACATATGAAGAACAGCTGCGGGACTTGAGTTTGGCTAGTCTAGAGAAAAGAAGAAATAGGGGAGACATGATAGCGGTATTCCAGTATCTGAGGGGCTGCCACAAGGCAGAGGGGGTCAGATTGTTCACCAGAACACCAGAGGGAAGGGCGAGAAACAATGGTTGGAAACTGAACAAAGAGAGAAACAACCTGGAATTAAGGAGAAACTTCCTGACAGTGAGGACAATCAACCAGTGGACCAGTTTGCCACCAGAAATCGTGGGCGCTCCATCGCTGGAAGTTTTAAAAAAGAGACTGGACTATCACCTGTCTGAGATGGTATAGGTCCACCTGCTTGAGCAGGGGGCTGGACTAGAAGACTTCCAAAAGTCCCTTCCGGCTCTATTCTGTTCTATTCTATTCTATATTCTATTCTGCTCTATTCTATTCTATTCCAATATCTATTCCATTCCATTTGTTAAGCCCCATTTTACGAACTTTCTTGCCACAAGTGAATCACTGCAGTTGTTAAATGAGCAACACGGTTGTTAAGTGATTCTGGTTTCCCCATTGACCGGGCTTGTCAGACGGTCGCAGAAGGGGATGATCACGTGACCTTGGGACACAGCAACCGTCATAAATATGAACCAGTTGCCAAACATCTGAATTTTGATCACCTGATTGTGGGGGAATCCCTGTAAAGGTCATAAGTGAGAAATGCGGTCGTAAGTCACTTAATATTTTTTCAGTGCCGCTGTAACTTTGAACGGTCACTAAATGAACTGTTGTAAGTCGAGGACTACCTGTATACGGTGTTTCCCTCAAAGTAAGACCCATCTGGAAAATAAGCCCTAGCATGACTTTTCAGGATGCTCGTAATATAAGCCCCATCCCAAAAAATAAGCCTCAGTTAAGATCATCAGCCAGACCAGGGGACTGGAGGCTAAAACATAGGAAAAACGGTTGCTGGAATTGGGCATGTCTGGTTTAATGAAGAGAAGGACGAGGGGGGACATGATAGCCCTGTTCCAATATCTCAGGGGCTGCCCCAAAGAAGAGGGAGTCAAGCTATTCTCCAAAGCGCCTGAAGGCAGGACAAGAAGCAACGGATGGAAACTAATCAAGGAGAGAAGTAACCTAGAACTAAGGAGAAACTTCCTGACAGTGAGAACAATTAACCAGTGGAACAACCTGCCTCCAGAAGTTGTGAATGCTCCAACACTGGAAGTTTTTAAGAGGAGACTGGACAGCCATTTGTCTGAAATGGTATACGGCAGGGGTGTCAAACTGGCGGCCCATGGGCCAGACGTGTTATCCGGAAGCCACGCCCACCCCATTGCCGGCAATGGCAAAACCGTCCTGATAGGTTTGACATGTCTGGTATAGGGTTTCCTGTCTGAGAAGGGGGTTGGACTAGATGACCTCCAAGGTCCCTTCCATCATCATCATCATCATCATCATCATTATTATGAATGCATTTAGTACTGTATTTCCCCTAATATAAGCCCTAACCGGAAAATAAACCCTAATGCGTCTTTTGGAGCAAAAACTAATATAAGATCCGGTCTTATTTTCGGGGAAACACGGGTGTGTAATGAGTGTCTTCTACTGCTTGCAAGAGGGTAAGATCTGTCCTTGGATTGCCAGGAGCAATTATACAGGCTCAGCCAAGTGAAACTCTTCCCCCCCTCTCCCCCCCCATCACATAACACTCACACATCCGGCACTAAATGCCATTACAGGAAAGAAGAAAAATTGATTGTGAACTTGACCGAGCAGAGCCTCTCCTGAGTTCAGTGGATGCTGGCTGTGATCGAGCTTTTAAATGTTGGCATATGGCTGGCTCACGCCCGGCGCTCTCTCCTCTTCTGCCTGTGTGAGTGGGCAGCTGATTTGTCCAGGCAGATCCGGAGACGAAACTTACTGTGGGTATTCCTGTGAGTGCTGTGTTGATTTTACAGGGGGTCCTGGAGATTATGGCCACAATTCAGCCTCAAATTTCCATTTGCAAAGCAAGACAGCTGTTAAGTGAGTCTCCGCCCCGTCCTTTTTTGTCCGGCTTCCTCCATTGACTTCGTTTGTCAGATGCTCGCTAGGAAGGTCACAAATGGTGATCACTTGGCCCCCCGAGACAGTGCAACCATCATAGATTAATGATGATGATGATGGAAGGGACCTTGGAGGTCATCTAGTCCAACCCCCTATACAATTTCAGACAAATGGCTGTCGTCTCTTCTTAAAAACTTCCAGTGTTGGAGCATTCACTGCTTCTGGAGGCAGGTTGTTCCACTGGTTAATTGTTCTCACTGTCAGGAAGTTTCTCCTTAGTTCTAGGTTGCTTCTCTCCTTGATTAGTTTCCATCCGTTGCTTCTTGTCCTGCCTTCAAGCACTTTGGAGAATAGCTTGACTCCCTCTTCTTTGGGGCAGTCCCTGGGATACTGGAACATGGCTATCATGTCCCCCCTCATCCTTCTCGTCATTAAACTAGACATCCCCCTGGAGATTAGGACCGCTCCCACCCTGTTGGTCTTCTGTAAGCTACTTAAGACCTGGCTTTTCCGGCAGGCCTGGGGTTTATAAAACCTTACCCCTGGATGAGTGTTTTTGTATTGTTGTTTTGTTATGTTTTATGTGTTTTTTATTGTTAGCCGCCCAGAGTCCTTCAGGAGTGGGGCGGCTTATAAATTTTAAAAATAAATAAATACATAAATTTCAGCAACCATTCCTTATATGTTTTAGCCTCCAGTCCCCTGATCATCTTTGTTGCTCTTCTCTGCATTCTTTCTAAAGTCTCAACATCTTTTTTACATTGTGGTGACCAAAACTGGATGCCGTATTCCAAGTGTGGCCTTACCAAGGCATTGTAGAGTGGTATTAACACTTCACATGATCTTGATTCTGTCCCTCTGTTAATGCAGCCTAGCACTGTGTTGGGTTTTTTTGGCAGCTGCAGCACACAGCTGGCTTCTATTTAAGGGATTGTCCACTAGGACTCTGAGATCCAAAATACATGCCAGTTGCTGAGGTTCTGAATTTTGATCAGGTGGCCCATGGCGATGCTGCAACCGTCCTGTGAAAATGAGTCATAAGTCATTTTTTTTCACTGTCGTTGTAACTTTAAACGGTCACTAAATGAATGATTATAAACCAAGGACCGCCTATATCTGACGTTTTGGGGGAAAGGGCTGATGCTAATCTGTTTTATTTTAGATGCTCCCAGCACCACCAGTTTTGACAGCCCTTACACACAACTTTGAACTGTGCCCAGGGCATAAATCATGGTTTATTTCTTTTATTATCTAATTTAGATAATTTAGAATGATCTAATCTCAGGATTAGCTCTGCAGAACTAGGCAAAACTGGACAAGCCACTTGATGTTTTGGCATCTTTTTTTTTTTCCCCTACCTAGTCCTCTTTAGGGTAAACAGAGTTCAATCCCAATCTTCTGAGTACTGGAGGTTTTAAAAAATAGACCAGACAACCATTTGACTGAGATGGTAGAGGGACTTCTGCCTTGAGCAAGGGGTTGGACTAGAAGACCTCCAAGGTCCCTTCTAGCCCTATAGGATTCTAATGCTGGGAGCTGATTATCTCCTTTCTGGAAGGCATCCAGGTGAGAAAATTGAACTTAGAGTAGAATAGAATAGAATAGAATAGAATAGAATAGAATAGAATAGAATAGAATAGAATAGAATAGAATAGAATAGGAATAAGAATAAAGCAGAATAGAATAGAATAGAATAGAATAGAATAGAATAGAATAGAATAGAATAGAATAGAATAGAATAGAATAGACAGTTGGAAGGGACCTTGAAGATCATCTAGTCAAACCCCCTGCTCAGGCAGGAAACCCTATACCATTTCAGACAAATGGCTGTCCAGTCTCTTCTTAAAAACTTCCAGTGTTGGAGCATTCACAACTTCTGGAGGCAGGTAGTTCCACTGGTTAATTGTTCTCACTGTCAGGAAATTTCTCCTTAGTTCTAGGTTGCCTCTCTCTTTGTTCAGTTTCCATCCGTTGGTTCTTCTCCTGCCTTTGGGTGCTTTGGAGAATAGCTTGACTCCCTCTTCTTTGGGGCAGCCCCTGAGATATTGGAAGACTGCTATCATGTCCCCCCTCGTCTGTCTCTTCCTTAAAGTGGACATTCCAGCAACCGTTCCTTGTATGTTTTAGCCTCCAGCCCCCTGATCCTCTTTGTGGCTCTTCTCTGCACTCTTTCTAGAGTCTCAACTTCTTTTTTTACGTCCTGGCGACCAAAACCAGATTTCTTTAAGGTGAGGGAGGGAAAGAGGGAGGGGGAAGGGAGGCAGGACTCTTTCCAAAGGAGACCACAGAATGGGAGGGGAACGAGGGCCCGTGCATGATGCGTGTTCCTGCCATGGGTGATTTTACCCTCTCTCTCTCTCTCTCCCTCCCAGGCTCACCTACAGACCCCCCCTGTGGCCACGGCAGCTGTTGCAGCCGCGGCTGCGGCCAGTGTCGTATCAACCGCCCCCCAATCCTTGAAACTGACTTACCCCGAGATCTTGGACCGGATCAAAGAAGAATTCCAGTTTTTGCAGAACCAGTACCACAGGTAAAAAAAAGGATGTTCATTTTCCCAGGAGATGCTGAACTGGGCAGACACCAGGATTCCTTCCCTGGATCCCGGTGAGCGCAGGCACCAGGATGGGGGGGGGGGGGTAGGACCGAAACCAACTTTTCAATCTCTGATTTAATCCTTAGAGCTGCCCTGAACTGTTCGGATGCCTTTGCCCCTCTGGGTAAGGGGCCTTTTGCAAGAGCCGAGGTGGTACAGCAGTTAGAGTGCAGTACTGCAGGCCACTTTAGCTGACTGTGTTCAGCAGGTCAGCGGTTCAAATCTCACCGGCTCAAGGTTGACTCAGCCTTCCATCCTTCCGGGGTAGGTAAAATGAGGACCCAGATTGTTGGGGGCAATGTAAATATATATATATATACATTGCTTACTAGTGTTCACCGCTTAGAGAGTGCTTGCACTTAAAGCGGTATATAAGTCTCATAAATAAATAAATAAACCCGAAGAGACTGTAACCTTCCATTCTGCAGATAGTCCTCGACTTACGAGCACAGCTGAGCCCCAAATTCCTGCTGCTCAGCAGATTTGCTCCAGTTGGCGACCTTCCTTGCCACAACGGTTAAAGAGCGTCCCCGCGGTTGCCAAGTTAGCAATTTCAGTTTTGTAACTTGGTAACCTGAACTAAGCAACTTCCGTTAGTAACTTGTTCAGTGGCTAAGGCGCAAGTGCGGGAAGTGGTCGTAAGTCACTATTTTTCCAGCGGTTGTAAGTCGAGGACTTCCTTCAGAGTCCGCGTGGCCTCCCTAAGGGGTTGTCCTGCAGTTTGGGGCCACATCTGGATCGTGCCAAATTCAGAAAAATCTATTCCATACAATATGCATAAAATTCCTGGCCTTTGAAATATTGAGGGCCAGCTGTGTTGACTCCACTGGGGGCTGGTAGTCTCCCCAGGGATGCCTGCCCTGAAGTGGGTCTATTTCACTTCCCCCCCCCCAGCAAATTTGTCCTATTTATCTGCTTCAATCAATACTGCCTGCTTTTGAAAACAAGCAGATGCCCTGTTGGCAAACTACAATTCCCATCAGCCTGGGATCCAGGAGGATGGGGGGTGTGTTTATAATCCCAGGAGATGCAAAAGGCACCGTATGCTGAGTCAGAAATCAGAACTGGGCCGCGGAAGCGTCGGGTCCACAAAGCCAGAAAATGTCTGGATGATTGAGTGGCCAGCTCTCCCTTTGAACCGGAGAGAGCCCCAAATCAAATCACAATCACTGTGAAAACTTGTGTTGACTTATTTATTCAGTTCAGTGGTACCCCACCCTTTCCGGCTTTGGGGACAAGCAGCGGGGAGAGGGGACGGTTCCGGGCGAGGGGTGGGTGAGAGTGCGCGCGCAGCTCCATTTGAGCGAGTGGCAGGCATGCACGTCCACTGCTCATGCAGACGGAGCTTCGTGCATCCGAGCACTTGCCTGCTGCTCGCGCAAGCGGCGCTGCATGCGTGCTCACCCGCCGCTTCCACAGCCTAGTTTCAAACGGGCCATGGCCCGTGGATTAGGGATCCCTGATTTAATTCATTGATTTATTATCCCAAAGGAGGCAACTGGACTTTGAAGATGTTTCGCTTCTCATCCAAGAAGCTTCTTCAGCTCTGACTGGATGGTGGGCAATGGAAGGATTTATATTTCTTGCTGGTTATTTGCATTCTTTTAGAGCAGTGGTTCTCAACCTGTGGGTCGGGACCCCATTTGGGGTTGAACGACCATTTCACGGGGGTCGCCAAACAACAAAGTCCGCCATTTTTTTCCCCCTTTTCCTTAGCTGTGCTACTCCCTTTTATTCTATTGGCTTTTGAAAGCCAATAGAATAGACTCTCTTGAATAGAGTCTGATTCTATTGGCTTTCAAAAACCAATAGGAATTGTCCAGGCTGTCTCTGCCCTGCTGAGCCCACCAAAAGTCCCATTCTGCAAACGGTGCTGCACCAGTTGAGTAGTCCTTGACTTACGACCGGTTGGGGGTCACGGCATTAAAAAGGTTGAGAACCACTGTTTTAGAGAGTCATTGAGATCACTTGGAGGACCACTTTGCACCACTCACATGACTTTGGGGACACAGGTTAAACCTCCAAGTGGCCTCAGTGACTCTCAAAGAATGCAAATGACCAGCTGTCTGCAAGGAGTATAAATCTTTCCACTCCCCACCATCCAGTCAGAACTGAAGAAGCTTCTTGGATGAGATGTGAAATGTCTTCAAAGAAAACCAAGAAAGTCCAGTTGCCTGTTAAAAAAGCGGCTTGGAGACAACCATGGCCTGGATGTCTGAGAATCTCCATAGACATTGATTTATTAATTGTACATGCCGCCCATCTCAACGTTGGGGCGACTCTGGGCCACTTTACAAGAGGTGGAACCGATAAATATCAAACCAGTCAAACTGAATAAGAATGCAATAAAGAGTTTAGCTATAGGGTCTGCTCTTTTGTTTTTAAAGCTGTCAAGTTTCTAGGACTCATGACTGCGCATGGTCTGTGAGGTCACCCGACGGGAAGGTAGCTAAAATGGGGTGAGGGGGGTGCTTTGCTTCAACCAAAGCAATTTTTGGGGAAAGCAGCCCCCTTTGCTGCAGCCGTGAATAGATTATGCAAACTAGAGAGGGGCTGAATACATTATGCAAATGCAGACCTGTAGTTGCATGATTTATACAGGGAACTGCATTGGGGTTCCCCCCCCCCCTTTTTTTTTTTTTTTTTTGGATCTGCACCGTTTTGGGGCTTTCTAAAAGGGAAAAGCAACTCACCAAGAATGGGGTACAAGGTTAGGCCGGGTTGTGTGAATTGGGCCCTCTAAAGCACCTAAAGGGTCATCCAGATGCCCCTGTTTCTTTGAAGGCGGTTGAAGGGTGGTGCAATCCGAGGTCTTCCTTTATCTTCACAGCTTGAAACTTGAGTGCGAGAAACTGGCGACTGAGAAGACAGAAATTCAGCGGCATTATGTCATGGTGAGCAGCTTTTATGATGCTGATTAAGCGCCAGTCTGAGCCTTCCAGGAAAGGGAGCTTTTAGCAAAACCTACCTCTTTGCTTTTCGTTGGCCTCTAATCGAGGATGATGGGTTCTAAAGTCCAAAGCACTCAACCAGGGTAGCAAGTGGGCTTTTACTCTCTGCTCTGGATGCCCTTTCCTGTTTTGGGGTACATTTTTCCAACTGAAGAAATGCAGGTCATCCTCGACTTACGACCATACAATTGAGTCCAGAATTTCGGTTGCTAAGTGAGACATGTGTTAAGATGAATTTTGTCCTGCTTTATGACTTTCCTTGCCCCTGTTGTCATGTGAACCACTGCAGTTATTAAGTTCGTAATAAACTTAGGGGTGTCAAACTCAATTTCATTGAGGGCCGCATCGGCATTGCGGTTGCCCTCAGGGGGCCAGGTGGGTGTGGCCAGGGTGGGTGTGGCCTACTGGGTGGGTGTGGCCAACTCCACATCGTTCGTGTCAAGGGTGCCTGTGGGGGCCTGGGAAGGAGTGGGACAGATCTGAGGGTCTCTGGCAGAAGGGGGTGGGACTGGGGCAAGTGCCAAGGCATGGTCCACTGGAGGAGCCTCACTGTTCCTCTCAGGCCATGTGTGTGTGGGGAGGGGGCTTATGGAGCTAAAGCTGAATGTGTTTCAACATAGATGGCCACCACAAAATTGTACATTGGCTCCCGGCTGGCCTGGGCCAGGGCCAAGGCAGCAGGGGCCGTTCCCTCACTGTTTCCAGGATGGCTTCGCGGCCAACATGAAACCACTTCGCGGGCCACATCTGGCCCCCGGGCCTTGTGTTTGACATGTCTGACATAAGTGAATCTGGCTTCCCTCTTGACGTTGCTTGTCAGAAGATTGCAAAAGGGGATCACATCACCCTGGGACACGGTAATAGTCATAAATATCAGTTGGTTGCCAACAGGCCGAAGTTTGATCCCGTGACCATGTGGAGGCTGCAGCCATAAGTGTGAAAAACGGTCATAAGTCACTTTTTTTTCCAGTGCCATTGTAACTTCGAAACAGTCACTAAATGAACTTTTGTAAGTTGGGGACTCCCTGTACTGGTATTGACAAGGAAGGAGAATAAGATAAAGTGGGATACTGGCTTTTGGCCTCCGTTCTTCCCAGCTTTTCCATCTTGCTCCTTGCCTTCCAGAAATACGATCCACATGCTGGAAAAATGGAAGATATAATGCTTTATCCCGCAATCTTGCATCCAGTCCAACTTGAATTTAATCCAAAGCAAACAACACCTCACAACTGCCTTTAAAAAAAAAAAAAAAGAGCTATAGCTTTTTTGCACACTTGGCAGTGACACCATTGTACCACCCACTGTGCAGATCTGCCACATGTTGTTGAAGGCAGCCGTGTCCCTTAACCAGATTCAGATGGGGTGTTAGACTTAGAGAGACGATGGCAGCCGGGAAAAGATGCGGCTGCTTTAATGGTTGGGAAAGAGATATGCTATCCAGGCAGTCGTCAACTTAACGACCACAGTTGAGACCAGGTAATCATTATGTGAGTGGGGGAGGGGGACATTGGGCAGGCAAGTTTGCTGCCATTGCTAAGTAAATCCCTGAGGGTCATTAGGTAAATCACAAGATCATTAAGCTTCCTCCATTGAGTTTGCTTGCCGGAAGCCAGCAGGGGAGGTCACAAATGGCAGATCACAGGATCACTAATGGCGATCACGTGATCAGCAATGGCGATCATGTGACCCTGGGATGCTGCAGCCGTCATAAATACAGAATAGTCGCCAAGCACCCAACTTTGGATCACATGACTGTGTGGTTGCTGTGATGGTCACAAGTGCAAAAACTGGTCATAAGCCAGTGGTGGGATTCAGCCGGTTCGCACCGGTTTGGTAAAACCAGTAGCTAAATTTTGTTGAGTTCGGAGAACTGGTTGAACCCATGCTGCTACTGGAAGTTGGTTCTAGGCCTTGGAGGCCTGGAGGAGGTCTCCCTGGCCTAGAATGGCCCACCGGAAGTGCGTGGATGTCACTTCCGGAAGTCTGTTTTAGGCCTGGTGGAGGCCTTCCAGGTCTAGAACGGCCCACCAGAAGTACATTGATGTCACTTCTTGAAGTCTGTTCTAGGTGTTGGAGGCCCAGAGGAGGCCTCCCAGGCCTAGAACAGCCCATAGGAAGTGCATGGATGTCACTTCCGGAAGTCCATTCTAGGCCTCGGAGGCCCAGGCCTGCATCCATGCAGAGATTCAGGTATTTGAATCCCACCACTGTCATCAGCCTATTTTTTTCAGTGCTGTTGGAACGTCAAATGGTCGCTAAACAAATGATCATAAGTTGAGGACTATCTTTAGCTCTTCTCCTGCATTCAGAAGCACCTCTTGAGAAGGATTTGTTTAGTTTTGTTTAGTTCAGCTCCAGAAATAGCTACAGGTCATCCTCGACTTACAACCACAGATGAGCCCAGAATTTATGTTGCTAAGTGAGAAATTTGTTAAGTGAATTTTGTCCCATTTTACGACTTTCCTTGCTCCGTTTGTTAAGTGAATCGTTGCCGTCGTTAAATGAGTCCCACGGTTGTTAAGTGAACCTGGCTTCCTCCATTGGTTTTGCTTGTCAGAAGGTCGCAAAAGGGGATCAGGTGACCCTGGGGACACTGAAAACCGTCATAAATATCAACCAGTTGCCAAGCATCCAAATGTAAACCACATAGCCATGGGGATGCTGTGACGGTCATAGGTGTGAAAAAACGGTCATAAGATCCTTTTTCAGTGCCGTTGTAACTTTGGTCACTAAATGAACTGTTGTAAGTCGAGGACCGCCTGTATTTTCTAGACGTACCCGGTGCTCTGAGCTAGGAAAAGCCCCAGCAATGTTAGCAATAACCACACGCAATAACCACACGCAATGTTAGCAATAACCACACGCTGAGGCTTTCGTAAGCCATGTAAGTATCTTGGGCAATTGCCATTGCTATGATCCGTTTTAACCCACGGTGATGCAAAGAGCTAGTCCTTTCCTTACGACTACAATTGAGCCCAACATTTCTGTTGCTAAGCCAGATAGCCGTTAAGTCGGTTTTGCCCCATTTCACAACCTTTCTGGCCCCCGTTGTAAAGTGAATCGCTGCCGTTGCGATTTCAGATCTGAGTTTCATAGGGGTGGCAAGTTGGCCTCTTGTCTTTTTCAAAATCCTTTTTAGAAATCCCACAGCTAACCTTGGCATGCTTTTCTCTTCCAGTATTATGAAATGTCCTATGGGTTGAACATCGAAATGCACAAACAGGTAAGTGAACGGGCATGTTGGAGGCAGGGGTGGGAAACCTCTTGGCTGCTACAGAAAGTCCTTGATTTATGACCGCAATGAGGACCCAAATGTATGTTGCTGAGCAAGGTAGTAGCTGTTAAAGGAGCCGTGCCTGATTTTGCCACGGCTGCTAAACGAATCACTGCAGTTATTAAGGGAATGGAATGGAATAATAGAATAGAATGGAATGGAATGGAATGGAATAGAAAATAGAGTAGAATAGAATTGAGTAGAGTAGAAAATAGAATAGAATAAAAATAGAATAGAATAGAATAAGAAATAAATTCAAAAGAATAGAATTGGAATAGGGATAGAATAGAAAATAATTAATTTAATAGAATAGAACAGAGTAGAATAGAACAGAACAGAATAGAATAGAATAGAATAGAATAGAACATAAAAAATAGAATAGAACATAGAAAATAGAATAGAGTATAGAATTTCAAATAATATCAAAGCATCTGGAGAACACCAGATCACGAAAGGCTGAGCTGCCTACATGGACAAATTCAAAGGGGAGAATGGAATGGAATGGAAGAATAGAATAGAATAGAATAGAATAGAATAGAATAGAATAGAATAGAATAGAACAGTGATGGTGAATCTTTTGGAGACCAAGTGCCTAAAAACTGGCCCCGCCCCCACTCCACCCCTGCCCTTCCCCCGCTCTGCCCTCACCCTGCCTGCCCACAAGGCCACTCACCGCCTCTAGGGCCTGCCGCAGATTGCCCAGGCAGTCCAGCAGCACCATGGCGACCAAGCCTCTTCCCGCGTCCTGCAGCATCAACTGCATGATGGGGTGTGAGGGCAGAGTCTTGTCTACACTGCCTGGCTGCCATGTCCTTGGCTGTGCTGCTCCATGTGGGCCATGCTTGGGGGCGACTCTCCTCCAGATGGGCTGCTGGTGAGGGGGTCGCAGGGGGAGGCAAGGCTGGGGCAATGGCACGTGTGCCCACAGAGAGGTCTCCGAGTGCCGCCTCTGGCACCCATGAAATAGGTTCGCCACCACTGGAATAGAATATAGAATGGAATGATAGGATAGAACAGAACAGAACAGAACAGAACAGAATAGAATAGAATAGAATAGAATAGAATAGAATAGAATAGAATAGAATAGGAAGGGACCTTGAATGTCATCTAGTCCAACTCCCTGCTCAGGCCCTCAATCCATTTACTCCAATTATTCAAGGCAGGAAGAGAACCAAAAACATTGCAAAAAAAAAAAAAAGACATAAACAGAATTGTTTTGCATCCAACAAAAAAGCACAGCCGCCTTCAAGTCAAGGTCAACTAACTCCCTGATGTTTTCACTAACTGTGGTTTTTGCCGATATTGACTGGTCAGGAAACAGATCTTGATATTATGGTAAATACTCTGATAATGTGCAGAAGAGAACTGGGTGAAAAGTCAAAATATTAACCCTAACGTGTGGGACGGAAGGGACAATTCCATATTAGCAAAACTTGGAAAATAATTTTAAAAGCCTCTTTCTGTGAGTCTTCCTTGTGATGAGTAGCATATGGGAATCTATCTCCAAATGAGACAAGATATTGCAGAACGGGAAAAGGTGCAAAATAATAATAATAACACGGATCTGCACATATACTATGTAGATACATTACGACAGCCGAAGTTCTTGGGAGGAATTCAATGCATATAGGAAGTCTTCCACTTACGAGCCTGTCATAAGTCGTGGCAATTGAAAAGCCGGTCATCGTATGATCAACTGGATTTAGGACAGGACTAGAATAGAATAGAATAGAATAGAATAGAATAGAATAGAATAGAATAGAATAGAATAGAATAGAATAGAATTCAAAAATAGAACTGGAATAGGGATAGAATAGAAAATATGGAATAAAATAGAATAGAATATAGTATGGAATGATAGAATAGAACAGATCAGAATAGAATAGAATATAGAATGGAATGATAGAGTAGAGTAGAATAGAATAGAATAGAATAGAATAGAATAGAATAGAATAGAATAGAATAGAATAGAATAGAATAGGAAATAAATTCAAAAATAGAACTGGAATAGGGATAGAATAGAAAATATAGAATAGAATAGAATATAGTATGGAATGATAGAATAGAATAGAATATAGAATGGAATGATAGAATAGAATAGAATAGAATAGAATAGAATAGAATAAGAAATAAATTCAAAAGAATAGAATTGGAATACGGATAGAATAGAAAATAATGAATGGAATGGAATAGAATAGAATAAGAAATAAATTCAAAAGAATAGAACTGGAATAGGGATAGAATAGAAAATATGGAATAGAATAGAATAGAATAAGAAATAAATTCAAAAGAATAGAATTGGAATAGGGATAGAATAGAAAATATGGAATAGAATAGAATAGAATAGAATAGGAAATAAATTCAAAAATAGAACTGGAATAGGGATAGAATAGAAAATACGCTTGTCGGAACCTGCTGGGAAGGCTGCAGACGGTGATCACCTGACCCCAGGATCCTCAAACCATCATAAATACGAGCTGGTTGCCAAAATGCCCAAATTTTGATCACATGACTCCGGGAATGATGTGACGGTTGTCAGTGCTGTGAGGACCTGTCATAAGTGCCTTTTTCGGAGCCCTCGTAACTTTGAACGGTTGCTAAATGAACTGTTGTAAGTCGAGGACTGTCGACTGTCGTAAGTTGAGGGCTACCCATATTCTTCTGTCTCAAGATGGGATGTTTTAATTCCAAACGAGGGCCGCTGGGGAGCTGACCTGATTGGGGTTTTCATTCTGATCTGTTTTTAAAACCTCTATTCTATTTTTTCATTTGCTGCAGTTTAAAGAGGCATTGGGGCTTCATGTCGGCTTAGCGGCTCGGTTTAGATTAATCCTCTCGTCAGTTTGCTGAAAATTGTGCCCAACCTCCCCAAAATGTGTCAGGTTCCAAGGAGCACAAAAAGGGTGTTTAGCCCCCCACTCGTTTGTGATGCAAAAAACAGAGGGAACCGGGTTTTGACTGCATCTGCCTTCCAGATCTGAACTAGCCCCTTGTACTGGCTGCAAATTACCCCTCTACAGAGATAATGGAGGGGCTTTGGACAGCTTTAGCCTCTGTTGCCGGACTCCTCTTTCCCATCGTAGGCACTCCATCACTGGAGATTTTTAAGAAGACAGTCACTTGTCTGAAATGGTATAGGTTCTCCTGCTTGAGCAGGATGCTGGACTAGAAGACCTCCAAGGTCCCTTCCAGCTTCTCTTCTCTTCTCTTCTCTTCTCTTCTCTTCTCTTCTCTTCTCTTCTCTTCTCTTCTCTTCTCTTCTATTCCATTCCATTCCATTCCATTCCATATTCTATTCCATTCCTTTCCATTCCATATTCTATTCTATTTCTATTTCTATTCTTCTAATCTTCCCTCCTCCCAGCTTGGAATCCTCCCAGCCTGATTATCCCCTGTATAAAAGAATCGAAAGGGACCTTGGAGATCATCTAGTCCAGTGGTTCTCAATCTGTGGGTCGGGACCCCATTTGGGGTTGAACGACCATTTCACGGGGGTCGCCAAACAACGCAGTCTGCCATTTTTTTCCCCCTTTTCCTTAGCTGTGCTACTCCCTTTTAGTCTATTGGCTTTTGAAAGCCAATAGAATAGACTCTCTTGAATAGAGTCTAATTCTATTGGCTTTCAAAAGCCAATAGGAATTGTCCAGGCTGTCTCTGCCCTGCTGAGCCCGCCAAAAGTCCCATTCTGCAAACGGTGCTGCACCAGTTGAGTAGTCCTCGACTTACGACTGGTTGGGGGTCGCGGTATTAAAAAGATTGAGAACCACTGATCTAGTCCAACCCCCTGCTCAAGCAGGAGACCCTATACCAGTGGTGGCGAACCTATGGCACGTGTGCCAGAGGCGGCACTCAGAGCCCTCTCTGTGGGTACGCGCAACGTCGCCCCAGCCCTGTCTCCCCCCACGATCCCCTCCTCACCAGCAACCCCACCAAGGAGAGTCGCCCCCAGTTGTGGCCTGTGCAGAGCAGCGCAGCCAAGGACATGGCAGCCAGGCAGCAGGTACAAGACTTCGACCCCCCCGCCCCACAGCATCATCTGTGTAGCTGCCATGGTGCTGCAGGGTGGGAGTGGGGCAGGAGGTGGGATGGAGTAGGCAGGGCAGGGGGCAGAGCAGAGGGGGGGGGCAGGGGCCGGGCCAGTTTTTGGGCACTCTGTGTCCAAAAGGTTCGCATCACTGCCCTATACCATTTCAGACAAATGGTTGTCCAGTCTCTTCTTAAAAACCTTCATTGATGAAACACCCACAACTTCTGGAAGGCCGTTCCATTGATTGATTGTTTTCACTGTCAGGAAATTTTACCTCATTCGTAGCTTGTTTCTCTCCTTGATGAGTTTCCATCCGCTATTTCTTGTCCTGCCTTCAGGGGCTTTGGAGAATAGGTTGACCCCCTCCCCACCCTCCTTTGTGGCAGCCCCTTAAATATTGGAATATGATACAATAGTCCTTGACTTACAACAGTTCATTTAGTGACCACTCAAAATGACCATAGCACCGTTTTTCACACTTAACGACCGTTGCAGCATCCCCATGGTCACGTGATCAAAATTCAGATGCTTGGCAACTGGTTCCTGTTTGGGACCGCTGCTGAGTCCCAAGATCACGTGATCCCCTTTTGCAACCTTCGGACAAGCAAAATAACTGACCAACCAGGTTTCTAACTAATCAACTGCAGCGATTCACTTAACAACCGAGGCAAGAAGGGTCGTAGAATGGGGCAAAACTCACTTAGCAAAGGGCTCGCTTAGCAACAGAACCTTTGGGCTCCATTCTGGTCGTAAGTCGAGGACCACTGTACTGCTGTCGTGTCACCCCTAGTCCTTCCTTTCATTAAACTAGACCAGGGGGGGTCTTCAAACGTGACCTTTTTATGACCTGTGGACTTCAACTCCCAGAATTCCTCAGCCAGGCACGGCTGGCTGACGAATTCTGGGAGCTGAAGTCCACAAG